CTTTGCCGCGGAAAATGACCGCGGTCCGCATCAACTTGTCGCCAGCTCCGATACAACAGTTGGCGGTGCACTGTCGCTTCTCAAGACCAGGGAACTGCTGCCCAATTTGCACTCGCAAAGCTCCCGTCTCGTCCCATGTCGAGTCGAGGCCGTTGACGAATGCGAGCCCAACCTGCTCGACGTTGAAACGTGCATTCAGGCTGAAGCGCCCGTAGAAGGGCGATTCCACAGGAACGGTCGCAACGCCGTTGTTCTCGGCGGCGCCCCCAGCAGCGGGCCGGCGAAAGGGTGGTTCCTGCAGCAGCTGGCGCAGCATCCTGTGGAGCTCTCCATCTGCGGAAGACGGTCCTCCACCGACTTGTTCGTCATGTTTGTGCGCCTTCGTTTCGAGACATGGTGGCGCTTCGCGAACTTCCTGCATCACCGGTCCGACGCTGAAACGTTCTTTGCACGCGGGTCGTCTGGATACATTTCCACCACGAGCTTTCTCGCGTTGACTCGAATCCAGGCTGTCGACACTCTGAGCTTCCTCTTGCGCCGTTGCAGCAGCAGCGAGTGCAGCTTCTTCTCTGCGTCTCCGAACCGCCTCCTCTCCCTGCCAGTCTTGACAAGGGCTTCTCTGCGTCACCCTTCCACTTGCAGATGTTGGGTTGGGGAATGCCGGTCTTCCTTGGCAGGATGTGCTGGCACGACACGCCGTGAACATGCCAGATCTTTTCGGCGTGATCGGCCTCCAGCTCTCGCAGCTCCGCGATCACCGCAGCCTTCTTCCTGTTGCTGTACTGCGTCCTCTTCTCAGCCCCTCGTGTTTTCCGCTTGGTGCGTTCTTCGTCCGACGAAGGCCGTCATCTGGCAAGTCTGATGTACCATCGCCTTGGGTCCTTGGCTGCAGCTCAAACGGACAGCTCCCTCGCACGTGGTGCATTTTCTGGCCCGCCGCAGTGGTGTGCCTGCCTCCCTTTGAGTGGTGAAAGACGACATTAAAACACCTGCCCAAATACCCGTGCCAAGGTGGAGTCGTCATGGTCCCACTCGTCGCGAGGCCGCGCCTGAGCCCTTGTCCAAGATGCCGAAGAGGAGCTGGGTGCACGGCACTACAGTGTAGCGATCGACCTTGTTCGGAGGCAAAGGTCTTCGGGCAGTACAGGCACTTCAACTTGGGAGGAGGTGGTGCGATGGGATAGTGGACGCGGGTGATTTCCTCCACGATGCCATTGCGGGTACGCTTGATCTGCAAGAAAATAGCAGCAAAGCGAGGCCCGGGGTACGGGGATTTTAGAGTGCAGCAAAAAATGTTTGTCAACGGCCTCTCCAAGTAATTTCCAACAGACATTTTCAACGGCAGCGGCACGTGATTGGCACGCTTCGACAACAGCAGCAAGTGTCGCTGAAAAGAAAAGTTGAAAAAAAACACGAGAGCAAAACAACGGGCAGAGCCAGGATTCAAAACCGCGCCCTCGAACTCAATGGTGAACCAAAAGAATCCCCCGCAAAACATTTCGTGTTTTGGTTTCTCTGCCGGCCAGATTGGCACAGTTCGACACCAGCTGCAAGTGTTGCAGAAAAAAAAGTTGAGAAAAACACGAGAGTAAAAACAAAGGGGCACTGCCGGGATTCGAAACAGCGTCCGCATACTCGATGGTCAACCAAAAGAATCCTCCGCAGAATATTTCTTCATGCACAAGGAAGGCAATGCCGCTTTCAGACGCATCCATCGGCAACCTCGAGAGGTTGTCGAAGTTTGCTGATGCCAGCTACATCAAGGAGAGCGGCCACAAAGATTCCATCAAGAAGCACGTGATGGCCAACAAGCCCATCGATGACAAGTTCTGGTCGCATGTGGAGCGCATGGCCAACTTGCTGTCCAGCGGCATGTTTACGGCGGGAGACTACCGAAAGCAGCTAGATGTAAAAGTTGCAGACCTTTTGCGAGACGGAGCACCACGGTCGGCAGCGGCGGGCGGAGAAGTAGGGGTTGGTGGGTCGCAGGTGGTGGAGACTCCTAGGCCCGCACAGAAAAAGGGCAAGCGCACGGCCAAGGAAGCGAGGGCGGCGACGAACACGATGCACGGGAACATCGTCAACTGCTGGGCCGCAGCAACAAACAAGCCGGTGAGTTGGTTGGGGATTCCATTTGCATCCTTTGGCCATGTTCGTGAATGGCATGTGTTTGTCCGGTGCATCACCTGTTTCGTCTCCCTCGCCCGCATTGTTCGCCGGCAGTGAAAATAAAACACGAAACACGAGATTTTTTGTGAGTGGTGGCGGCGCTTCTGGGGGGTCCGCCGACGCGGTCTCAAGTAAGTAGATCATACCCTCCTGCGGCGGAAGAAGGCCCACGCCCATGGTATGCGTGTGGACGCCGTTTCTTATTTCCTGCGGCCAACCTTGGATCATCTGTTTCGTTTGTCTAGGAAGTCGAAATTGTGCTGTTTCTTATCAGTCCGTTTCTTATCACTCTCCGTCAAAGTAGCTCAATTTCTTAGGCGCTTTTTCTTCAGCAACCCAAAAATATGAGCCTCGGTTTCTTACGCGGGTGTTTCTTACGAGTGGGCCGGCACTGTACAGCTATGAATGGCAACGTCCTCCTTCCTTATCCACCCGTCGTTGTAAATCTTGGAGGAAAAAAGATGAGTATAGGCTTGTTGTTAGCTATCGGCAACACTTCGGTTGAGAAAGTATACGAGACGGCATGAAAATAAATTATGGAGAAATAAATACACGCACAGAAAGACTACCCATTCGAGATATACCCACAGTCGAACGGGATGTGGTGGAGTCTTTTCAGTAAGTGGAGGAAAACCGGCTGGGTACTGAACTTATTTCGAGTCTTTATAAGTCTATACACTGATGATATATCAGTGATGCCAGCTGGTGCTAAGCACAAAAACATCTGTATAGGTAAATCTACATTTTACAATACATCCCCTGTAGTTCTCTACTGGGTCAACGACAAAATATCGGGGAGAATCCCTCCGTAGTGTCGTGTACTGTAAGATGTAACCTTCACAGGGGACACGGCGCAGTGTCTATTGGCAGCTTGCTGGTTTTAGGAATTTAAGGAGAAATAAATAATATTGATGTAAAATCATGGAAGATGGAAAGAAGGCTACAGCAGTACATCACTCGTTTTTCAAACCTATAGATTTTTGAATTTCACGGGCAGTAGGTGTTTTACGCCGTTTTTTTAGCAACTACCAACAAAAAAAAAACATATTTGATCCTTTGGGGTAGCGTATCAGTGATGCTTACAGTAGAAGAGAATGGTACACCTGGTGCATGATAGGTAGGGCATAGCGTATTCGATAAAGTAACACCATTAGACAAGTCAGCGCTGACTTAACAAATGGTTTATCTTTATCGAACAAAAGATATGCTCAGAGCTCATTTGCACCCGGCTGGATCAGCTGCAATACCCGCATATGCATACGCAATATACCACCCGCATGCTATGCTACGAGTATATCGAATATAGCGTTCAGTTTGTATCATGTTAGCTGGTTTCCTGGTATGTTTGGTGTTGGTAATCAGCATCAGTAGATCACGGAAAGTGTTCAAGTGATATACACCCAATGTGGCCATTGTTGTCAACTTCCCTGGTGTTCCTCAGAGCGGTTTGCCGAGACATCTTGTCGCAACCATGTCGTAATCCCGTTGAAGAGCATCCGTCATGAAGGTCAGCAGTAGCAGCGAGTGGCAGTTGGTCTCTCCGTGTGGAGCAGTGGTGTGGACATGTTACGGAGTAGGGCGAAGGATACAACACGTAGAAATTACCCACCTGGATACACAGCGATCAGCAGAGAAGACGATGTGTGTCAGCCGCGAGGTCAATATGGGAGAGCACCTTTGCACGAAACCCGATACAGCCTTCCCGCCTTGCCTCAAGTCCTATCGGAGGGGCTATTTATGTGGTACGACGGCAGGGATCCGAATGCCGGCTCCTCCGAGCACAATGGGAGGCTTGCGGTAGGGATCAAACTGGGAATGTGCGAAAGGGGCTTCCCGACCATGGGCTCAACTGCAGATTTGGAGGCCATCGAGGTGTTGTATTTTCACCTGGTCATGTGACGTCATTTGGTCTACGTTTTAGAAGAAATTTCACTTGGTCATGTGACGTCATTTGTGGTCCGAGATTAGAAGAATTCGGTTGCATGCAGCAATACAGCAATGATATTTNGTCCGAGATTAGAAGAATTCGGTTGCGTGCAGCAATGCAGCAATGATATTTTGCAAGGGACACGGGTCACTGTGTTCCCCCTTGCTAATGGATAATCAGGCAATTCGTTGCCGTTCTTATCCATCATCCATTGCGCTACTGTTGTTAAGTGTCCTAGTTTTGATGTTTCAAGTTTTATTTTCTCGGGATTTTCTGTAAGAACTCATCCACACTGCATGTCCTTTCTTGCAAGGAGTACCCAGCCGCCTCAACAGCAAGGTAGACTACGAGTTCTCGCTCATTTGCGTGGCTACAGCAGCAGTAGCAGCGCGCGCGGGGGATAGGGGTCATCGCGAGAGTGTCGTGGCAGCGGCGGAACGAGCAACGAGGTTCGTCGAGGTGGTCGGCTGACGTCGGAGCTCGAGAGGCACGCGTGCTCGTCGGACGACGCTTGCACCAAACGGGGGCCAGGTTTGTGTTATTTATGGTCCGGTTTTCGTTTCGTCGCCAGACATGGACGGCCGAGGACGTCGTCAACAACGACGGCCACCCGGTCGATCACCGGATGACGATACCGGCGCTTCCCAGCGTCAGCAACGGCGCCGCTCCGTTCGCATCGCCGTGAACACAGCGAGCGAGTCGGGACAGAGAGGAACGTGGGACACCACCAGAGGGACACCCCGTACAGAGGAAAGGAACAACCGCACGTCGTCGGGGCAGGACGCGCGCGCGCACGCTCCATCGGTTGGGGCCCCACGACGTTTGCCGGGCTCTCGGTCGCAGGGACGCGGTATCGCAATGACTATGCCGGCTTGGCTGGTCGCACGGGGACTCGGCGGTACCTGTACCAATTGCCAGTTCGGCGGGCTGCAGCGGCACGCCGTATCCGCGTCAAGCGGAAGCGTGAGGAGCGGCAGCGGGCGGCGAGGTGGCGAGGCGGGGGCGAACAGCCCCTCCTGTTTGCGGGGCTTGGTTATG